TTGCCAACAATTTTATCTGAGATGGAAGACCTTTTGCCAGATTTCTTGGAAAATCTTCTAGCATTACGGGTATATATACATGATATATTTTCCTTTCCAACCATTCCACCAATGTTCACATTATTTTGATATTTATTATTTAGCATACACAGATAGAACTGGTTGCAAAGATTCGAAAATTTTCTCAAAAAAGACTCTCTACTCCATCTCCACCCTCATCACCATTGCACGAAACTACAGTCTCTCCTTTGAAAAAACAAAAACTAAAGAAAGATCCTTTTCGTATCTTAGACAACTTATACTAAATAAGTCACTTGACAGTTCATTGTCATATATAATTTCAATGCGCATATTTTTTCATATCTAATAATATTTATTGTAAATTTTAATCTTGTGGATGGTTAAATAATCAATATTAAGCTTAACGTGTACATATATTATTATCTACATAAACAACAGAAGCGTATAAACTTTACTCAATAAGGACCAATTCTCAAAGTATCTTAAAATGATCACAATTTTTTCTTAGTGCTTGCTGTATTGGTGAAATAATTATATATGCGTTACAATTTGTAACATCGATCACTTTTGAAGAAAAAAATTTTTTTTTCAATTATAATTTTCACCCATGCAAAGGAGCAATATTTCTTTAATAAATTTTTTTTTGACGCCACTCTGTATGTTTAATATATAAATTAATCGATTGATCTAAATATGTCAATAATTGTGATTTTGAACTTACTTGGAGGGATTAGAAGCATTTTGAAGAGAAAAATTGAGCCTTATATTTTCAAAATAAATGATATTTAGACACTGGAAATTCATCTATATGAATTAGAAAATTAATAAGCATCAACACAAAAACCGTGAGGAACCTACATAAAAATAAAAGAAAATTGGAAGAAAAATAATTTACTAAATTTAGGTTAAATTATCAATTTGAAGACTATCTTTTAAATAGATGTGATAAAAAAAGAATTATGTGAATGGTTTTGGTTCTTTTATTCTTTTTTAGAAAACATGTTGATTAAATATAATTTACATCTCAACTGTTCCAAATTTTTAGCAACTAGTATTTATTTATTCGATATGTTGGTATATCTTACATTCAGTCATGAGGTGGAGTTGGCGGAGTAATGTAATATGGAAGTATTTTACGATGTTTACTTTTATCACTTGTTTAAATTGACAATGAAATAAAACGTTTTTGAACCTTGGTCTCGTGACCAGAAAATATCACTAACACGTTGTGTGACAAGCCTTTGACGATCCGAGGTAAAGGTTCCAAGACAAGACCATCAGTTTTTGGTCATTTTGAACAGTCCGAAACGTCGGGGCAAGGCAAAGACCTAACAGTAGACAGCGGTCGACACCATGCAAAAAACATCTAAAGCGAAACACGATCTCCTTTCAGTCAAATATCTGTTTCGCTCAACCCTAACGTTTTGAACCAAAACAAATAAGTTTTTCAATTTCACAAATCATGACAAACAGATAATAATTAGTACTGTGACGTAAAATGACCATAACCGTTTATCATTCAACCAAACATTTCAAAATTGGGTAAAGTCGTTAGATTAGGGAAACATACAAAAAAAGGTGAAATATTACACAAAATATAATAATAAAAAATCTACACAAAAATTACGACATTTAGTAGGGCATCGTAACACGGAAACCTTTTCTTCTTTTATATATGTTAAAGATAGTTACTTACTTACTTACTTACAAAGTATACCCTTGTATCATACAATAGTCATTGCGCGAAGGCTAAACTAGTTTCGACTTTTGATTTGACGTATAACTTTGACCCCAAAATAGTTTGGCGATCAACACCAACTTTGAAACTGAAACCATTTTGAAACCTTTTAGAAATTCTGAAACTGTTTTGAAACTCCGAAAATGAAAGTTTGAAAGTCCAATACCATTTCAAACTTCTGAAACAGCAAAAATTACTCCTTATCTCGTGTGGAAGAAGGTTCGATCAAATATTTTCGTATTGAAAGATCATCCATCAACTCTATTTAGGAAATAGAATAATCTTCAAAAAAAATTTTAGTGTTTTGCAGTTAATAATAAGGAAGGCCATGGACGTATTTAGTATTTATATTATTAATTTATATAAAATTTTGGTATAAATAATTCATCATTTTTGCCATCGTAAAAGATAAATAAATAATTTTATTAAAAAAAAAAAAAAACCAATTTACACAAGTATACAACATGAATAAAACTTACTTTAAATTATTTGTTATTATTTTCGTAATAATTTGTCAAATAATTATTAATCATAAAGTAAACTCGTGTCCAATTGGTTTATGTGATAACGAGTGTAAGGATCATTCTTCTATCTTTATTATTATCCGCAATATTATCATTAATTTTGTTTGGGAATTTTATTGATTTTATTTTATCTTGATTCTCTCTCTCTTTAGTTTGTTGCGGAGGAGAGGAAGGTCTGTGTGATAATGGTGATGATAATGATGATGATTATAACAATGACGACAACAGCGACGATCCATACTATAGGTAAAAATGATAACAATAATAATCTATAATAATTAATTATAATCAATGATAATAATGTGATGATACTTTTATTAAAATTAGGTTATTCGATGACGAATTCAAAGTCGACATCGTGGAAGACGGTTTGTTCGATTGGGTGAAGTCGGTTATACAAATATTATGAATGTAGATGATCCATCGTCAGCACTATGTTCTAAATTTTTTCCGATTGTGGGAATTGTGGGTCTGGCAAGATAGATTGAAAAGGCTGCACAGATCATAAATAATAAGATTTTCTTACCACGTAGAAAATATAAATACATGTAAACTTAAATTATCGTATTCAG